CATCTCTCCACATACCCATTCGCTCAACTCATTGAAAGATCTTAAGTTGCTGCAACATAGCAACCTATCCAACTGGTCGGATTTTTCCCTTTCGTCCTTTGGAGTTTATGGAAAAATAGAAACCATAATATTTTCAACAACAAAAACGCATCCCTACCGTCTACCCATGTGAATAATAAAATGACATAATACCGACATTATACTCATCAGGCGCAAGATCTTGAATCATCCGACCTCGTTAGAGTTAGGTGGTTCCCCCACCCCAGGTAGGATCTTTCAAACTTAACATACACGACTCCTTTTCAAAGTTTGTAATAAGGGAGGTACTTGGAGGAGTTATCAGGGATCACAATGACAATTTGTAATGAATGTTTACCGTAACATCACTACCCAAAGATTCACTGACATAAAAGCTCTTCTCGATGGTTTAAAATTAGTTGTTGATTGTTCTATTGTCCCTATAGAAATTGAGCTAGACTCAATTGAGGCAATAGAAGCACTAGAAAATTCTCAACCTATTTATATGAGAAAAATTAATCATTCAAGGTTGCTTATGAAGAGGTTGGGGAATCCACCAATAAGACATAGCTTTCGACAAGCAAACAAGGTAGCAGACTTTTTGTCAAGACCAGGTACCAAGCTAACACCGTCCGATCAAGCTACTATATTATCTGCTCCTCCTGATCATGCTATGTCTCTAGTCAAGGATGATCAACAAAGGGCAATATATACTTAACTAGTTTTAAGGACCACTTGCAATAAGTTAGCAGGTTTTGGTAATCTAACAGTATTATCCAACTATGACAACAATGTAGAGGCAGAGATGCCTCAAAACCTGGTAACTCTATAAGTATATTTTTAGAAAATATTATTCTATGACCAAACATAGACATATAAAAAACTATCAAACTTTTAAATTTGTAAAAACACTAGTATGGAGAAATAATATTTTTTAATATATATTAATACCTGCTTAATTTTTTTTCTTATAGTGAAATAATGACACCAAAAGTTGTACGTACAGTTTATGACATATATTTTCACACTATTTGTTTGCAAATTATGATAAAGATTGATCTTCAATTTTAGATTATCTTATTCAACACATATTTAACTACTCATATAACAAAAGTAGATCATTTATATACGACAAAAACATAAGAAAAAATTAAATAAACAATAGGTATATAAGAAGTCACCTCAAGTGTTGTGTTTGGGGGATCATTACGAAGTTGGAGCGATCCTTCCTTTGTAGTAAAACCTTCATGATTAGCTTGCTACACATGATTGAAATAAAAGAACAAAAGTTATAAAAATATTTATTGAAAATTATTTGCACTGTGGATTTACAAGTTATGATATGGTTTTGAATTGCACTATGGAAATATCTTGCACAACATAAGTTTAAATTTTAATTTCATATAACAAAAATTTATCATTTTTGTTCTACAAAAGTTTAAGAAAAAATTAAATTGATAACTTATTTGTCCAACTACTTGGGAAGCCTTTCAAATCGAAGGTAAGTCATCTTCACTAATTGACTGGGGAAGTCAAGTGGTTGAAAAGAAACTGATAGTGTATACAACCTTTTTTTTTGTTGCAATGAAGTTTATAATTATAATTTTATAATATAATATTCTATGGTGAAACATAGACAAATGAAAATTTTGTCAATATATTTTCAGTAAATATAGTTTTGATGACTAATAAATTAGATCAAATACTTGTTAGC